AGAGCACATTTTAGACCTTGAGCGAAAACCTCGGGGAAGAAAAGGGTGTGTGAAAGCAGAGAAATGGGGTGGGTTGTGACAGTTAAGTAGCTGGAAACAGAGTAATGTGAAAGACAAGAGAAAGCTGGTCTTTTCAAGCTAAATTAAATAACAGTGGAAGCCATGCAAGGCTCAGGCAAGAGGCTGAAAGATAACAGCAGCTCAGGACTAGGTAGAGTCTGTTCCTCAAAGGCACTTTCCAGCTGCATTTGCACATGAAAAGATACCAGGCAACCCCAGGGTTTAAATGCCAAGTGCTAGAGAAGAAGGCTCAGCCTAAGAACCTCATTTGTTTTAGCAGCCTAACTTTTCTCTGTTGCAGAAAGGTATCCTGGAGTTGGAGTTTGGGTGTGTTTCATGGTTTGGGATTATGGGGAGAAGGTAGAACAGGGATCTAATCCCAGGGCCCCAGTTGTGTTTTTTCACCTTTCTGGATTTCTGCTCTTTCCTCTGTCAGCTATTTATCAGAAAGTCCTTGATAGCATTTTGAAGTTATAGGTGATAAAAATCACTGCTATATATAGGGTTTTGCAAGGGAGACCTTGAGCTTGGATCACTAAGAAAAACATTATGAAAGAATGTAGTGGCCAGGCATGGCAGCTCATGCCTGTAATCCCCGTACTTTGGGGGGCCAAAGCCGGAGGATTACTGGAGCCCAGGAGTTCTAGGTTGCAGTGAGCTATGATCATACTACTGTACTCCAGAGCACAGAGCAAGATCCTGTCTCAAAAAAAAAAAAAAAAAGAATGCAGCCTCCCTTCTTCCAGTCACAACATGCAGCTGAATCAGAACAGAGTGCAAAGAAACAGATCCCCTATGTGCCCTGTGTGCAGGGTCCCCAAGCCTGTAGAGTCCCCCAAGTCTCTCCATTTCTTCAGCAAAACCATAGGAACTGAGTGGTGCCTCCTCCCTATGTGGCCAATCCGCCACCAGGCGGGGAAAGACACTCTTTACAAGCAATGACTGTCAAAGACCCAAATATAAAAATAAGGAAAATAGAGAAGTAGCTTTGAGTTTGGCAAAACCTGAACTGACTTAGTGGACCTGTCTTTAATTTTCATAGAATTGCAATACTAGTCTACTACTTTTCTACACACGAGCCCAGGGCTTCATTTTCAGTTTTACCTATTATCAAATGAAGTTCATACCTCACAGGAATGTTTCAGGAGTGACTGATTACATAAAATACGTTTTAAACACCTGACAGTGCCAGGTACCTTACTGAATTCTGGAAACATTTCCCCTTGCCTGAAAGGAACTAAGGAACATAATGTAAACCATGAAGTTAGAAATGAATGTTGTCCTTTTATGAAAAGTTGTAACTAAGATATACACGGATACTAATGGTTTAGCAGGACAGATGAAACGTCATAGAGCCCAGTAGGTACATCACATAATGACACAACATATAAATGTGCTATTCTTTGGGAAAAAAAAAAAAATAGCCTTTAAAACCAGAAATCTCATGTGCCACAACCAAATGATTCATTCACTCATACAACAGGATTTGTGTACTTATTTATGCCAGGCACTGTGCTAGGTTCTGGAAATATAAGATATCAATGTAGCCCGAATGAGTACAAGCCTATTGGATCTGACACTGCTAGTGCGGATTGAATAGGGGTAATATCGGAAGACCGAGTACCTCCAATTTCCCTTCTCCCTGCAGTAGTTGTCCAGCAAGTTGTCCTCTACCTACCTCCGTTCCCAGGAGGATAAAATTGCCCAGAAGCGACACACAGCAAACACTCTAAGCGTCCTTAAGGTAAAAGCAGTTTAACTGCAGTGTTTTAAGTAGAATAACACAAACCGGAAAGTGAAAGTGGGAAGGTCTGTTTGCCTTCAGTCCCACCCTGGAGGACAGGCCCTCAAGAGCCTCTGAGATGAGCTCCACGTCCAGGAGCTTGCCTGGAGTGCGGGTTTCTCAAGCTGCTGCAGTCCAGGTGCTACCCAAATCCAGCGCATCCCTGCCCTGCAGAATCCTGGAGTTGAACTCTTCCAAAG